TCCAGAGACTGCAGCGTCACATGACCCACAGACGGGACGTCTGCCATTATATATTTTAAACAATAATATCTTAGTGAAAACTTGAAGTAATATTAACAAACAATATATCATTTGAAAGCTTGCTGACTGATTTTCAAAATAAATTACAGAGGAGCAGCAATTTATCAATTTGCACCCAGAATATTTAATACTCATTAGGCATGTTCAGGCCTTTATTTTGAAATATGAACATGAAAAATCAAGAAAGATTGGTAGAAACTCGTTTTCATGCCAAGAGTTCAAAAGATAAAACCAATTTAATTTTATGAGGAAAAAAAAGGTCTGAAAAGGTTTTAAATAAAAAGAATCAATGGATATGTATAAAAAATAGCCTGGATTGATGTGTGATGCGGCGGCGAGCTGTAACGCACATACGTGTTTTTATGCGTTTATTAGAGGTTGAATTCTAATCAAATCAAATATTCCTTCTGAATAGGATAGGATTAGGGTTAGGGTTAGGGTCTACTTCATAAATTGTATGAAAATTATGGAAATAAATGGTTCAGATCACTCAAAAGACACATGGAAATGGAGGCGCTCTTATATGGGCAGAAACAGAGCTTGGAGTTCATAGTGAAAAGGTTTGATACTGCGCCCAAACTAAACCTCACTGAAAGCTCATTTGTTGAGAAATCAACCTAACATTTGGAACACAACTTGTCTTTGATTTTCTTACAGTTTTAAAGTAAAACATGTTTTGTAAAATATATATTTTATATACATTTTCATAAACTCAAACTTCTATAACTTTTTTTCTGTTTCACTTTCATTATTTTCACTTCTACAATAATCTTCCACATGTCTTCAACAAGAGCATCCTAGGTCTTTATTCCAAAGCATTCTTGAATTACAACCATTTTAAGTTTGGATGATGCTCATCTTTGTGTGATAAAAGAGGAGTGACAGTGAAGCAGTGTGTAGTTCAACTCTTTTCTTGTGCACTTCTGTATCAGCCACATCTGTTCCAATAAGAGGACTGAAGGATTATTGTAGTGATTAAATGCTCATTTATTTGACTCTCGAGGATCTGAATCTGTTGTTGTTCTCCTGCAGATCTACAGTCGAAGCCTGAACTCACATCAGATCCTGCAGGAGCTGCACTGACTGGAAACACAGTGACTTTGACCTGTCGCATGGATCCGTCCACTGGAGACTGGGACTCTTACTGGTACAAACACACACTGAACCCTGAGACAGAGAAGAAGAAAACACACTCCTACCGCCTGAAGATTGATTCAGTGTCTGATGGAGGCCAGTACTGGTGTAGAGCTGGAAGAGGGAAACCAGTCTATCACACACAATACAGTGATGCACTGTGGGTAAATGTTACAGGTGAGAGAGACTGTAGTGTGTGATGCAACAAATACAGATCAGAGATAATATCTACACAACTTCTGAAACTATAAATGCAATAATCTGTGTTTGTACAGTGAGTCCTAAAGCTGTGGTGACGGTACGACCTGATGAACGAGTGTTTAGAGGAGAAACAGTCACTCTCAGATGTGATATAAAGTGGGCAGGAGTCACTGAGTGGACATACAGATGGAAAATAGAGGAAACCAACAACCAATATAAAAACACTGTCAGCCGAACCTCAACACAAGAGTTGAACATCAGCAGTATTGATCTCTTTCACCGCGGTAAATACAGTTGTAGAGGAGAGAGATCAGACTCACAGAAATCAAACATCAGTGATGCTGTTACACTGACTGTATCAGGTGAGTTTGTGTGTGTTGTGATCAGCTTCTCCATCAGTTTCTCTACGGCTCTGTAACTCATGATGTTTTGTTCAGCTGAAGCTCAGGCATCACTGCGAGTGTCTCCACAGCCGTGGCTGACTGAAGGAGAATCAGTGACTCTGATCTGTGAGGTTTCAGGCTCCTCTACAGGCTGGACGTTCAGCTGGTTCAGAGATCATGATCATCTGTCAGACAGCAGCAGAGGAGCTGGAGGATCTTACACTCTCAGTCCTGCTGCTCTACAGCACACAGGAGTTTATACGTGCAGAGCAGAGAGAGGACGACCAGCCTATTACACACACAACAGCAGCTCACACACACTGTGGATCACTGGTGAGGGTTTATGCTTGTGCTCATCCGCATCTGTGTTTCACTGCAGTCTCTGTGCTGTCAGTTCTGATGGAGATTTTCCTCTTTTCAGGAGTTTCTGCTTCAGTGTCTCTGGTCATCAATGCCAGCAGAAGTCAACACTTCTCCTCTGACTCTCTCTCTCTGAGCTGTGAGGATCAGAGTAACTCTGCTGGATGGACAGTGAGAAGATACACAGACAAACACACACAAACTTGTGCAAAACAAACAGGATCTCGATGTGTAATCGACTCTCTCAGCACATCTGACACTGGAGTGTACTGGTGTGAGTCTGAATCTGGAGAGAAACGTCGTCCTCGAAACATCACTGTACATGGTGAGTCCAGTTTATAATCACAACATCTACTGATGTTACAATTTAAATTTAATTACAGTCTACTGACATTTTCCACCTATTGTTTTTCCACACATATCTATTCACGAGTTTGCATGGCCATTCAGGCAGTTTGAAACTTCATTTATTGTGATGTTACAAGAACATGCCCTTAAATGCCACAAAACAAAGCAAAATGTGACTGATCACTTTTCACATTCATCACACAGTTTCTTACCATAAAAGGAACTGATTTTATGCCAGTGGTTAAAAATCTGATACAAAATTATCAAACTCTCATGGAAATTTGTAACTATTTTAAATTTTGGCAAATTGGTGACTATATGTGTATGAATTTGTACAATCTCATTGGTATAATCTTGATGTGCCCCACTGATGGTTGGGTTTAAAGGTGGACCTTGATGCTTATCGGCGGCATCCAATAGACACACAGAGGCTATAGAGGAATAATCCTTAGCGACTCGTTTGCAGTCGGTCGTCATTTTCATCAAAAAGACTGATGAACTTAGCTTGCTTTTGATTTTATTTTGATATAAAGCTTGATAAGACATTCAAACTGATGCAATACGTCAACAGAAAGTTTGCTCCCGCTCAGGGCCGGATTAACCATACCGGCAACTGGGCAATTGCCCAGGGGCCCAAGACCTCTAAAGGGCCCAGGGCAGCAAGGGCACGAGCAAAATACTGTATCTGGTAATCTCCCGCTTTATATTAAACAAACTGTCAACACGGGCTTTTGCGCTGCACAGAGAGACGCTGCGCTGCCTATGACTTTGAACGTGAGTTGAGAGCGTACATTTGCATACGTGCCTGTCTTTTTAGCAAAAAGATACCCTTCACTAAATATCTACAGTGGCGTAGGTGTTTGAAAGCAGCTTTTGACGCGTTCGACCCGAGTTTGAATCCGCCTTTTGCCGAACTCTCTCTTCTTCTCCCTTTTCCCAACACCGAAACCGTGATATGGCTTTGTGCCTTTATAAAACAGCTCAATACTGTAATGAAGTAGCCTAGCCATTCTGTTTGTGCTGCGTGATTTAAAGAAAAGTGCGCTCTTTGCTCACGCAATCAGCATGGTGATCTGGTGTTTTCTCCAATATAAAAGCTCAAGGGTTTATTTCTTGCAAGTGAAGAAATTAGGACAAAAGTATTGTAATTCTCCTATACAATAGTGTAAGTAAAATATACTTTTGCTATATGGATTTTACATAATAGGAATAATTATATAAATCATTATTACATTATTATAATAATCGTTTGGCATCCTAAAACAGACTGAGACTCTATATCATAACTAAAAAGATGTTTGAGCCCTCTTTGATGTCCAGGTAAAAGTCAATGCTTTTCTTTTGTTCAATGTGCACAGTTCATGGGTTGAAGCCGGTTAAAGCTCTTAATTTTGAGCTCTCAAAGTGCACCAGATTGATGTATTTAACCTTAAAATGTAAAAAAAAATTCTTGCGGGGGAGCATGCCCCCAAACCCCACCAGAGGGACAGAGGTCCACCCAACATAGTTTTACAATATCATATGGGAAAGAACAATAATTTATGAACTTTACTCCAAAAACAAACTTTCTTTTAAATCGGTAAAACTGTTAATGCCAAATTAAAATTGGACAAACTATACATTTGGCCTGCCTAAAGCCCCGTTCACACTACACGCGACCAAGCGACGCGATACCATTCATTTCAATGGTGAGCGGGCGACTTCCGGCGACATGCGCGACAGCAACCGTTGGCGACTAGATGGCGACTTAGTCTAGCGATGCGACAAAGTTGAGAAATTTTTAACTTTATGCAAATGAAGAGCGATTTTCGCGAGCGACAACCAATAGGAGTGGAGCGCACGTGATCCTTCTCCTCAGCCCCTGGGCCTGCAGTGATGGATGGCAAGAAAGCTGATTTGCTGTCTTTTGGATGTCATACTAGTCAACCAGTAGTGGGAACGCCCACTAGCGACCTCATCGCCAGCGCCTGGCGACTTGCAGCGACAAAGTCGCGTGTAGTGTGAACGGGGCTTTAGGGGGGCCTACAAGACATTGTGCCCAGGGACCTCTGAACTCTTAATCCGGCCCTGCTCCCACTACTCGCCTCTGCCAACCCTTTCTAACAATCAGCATAGGAAATAATAAAGAGAGCAGAAGTGATCAGCTGTGCCCATGTGACAGTGAATAACCAACAAGAAATAAAGAATTAACGCTCCTTCAATGCAGCAACAACAAAAAAAGTCCAAACAAAACAATCGTTTACTCATAAAATAGTTGTGTTTTCTCATGAGATCGGGTTAGACTACACGACACATAAAAAGCTTGAAAGGTATAAAGTATAATTCATAATATCAGTATTTTTCTTATGATTTGTTTTGCTGTATTCTTCCTATTTACAGTATTAAACACACATATCTTGTGTTTGTAGACGGTGAGGTGATTCTGGAGAGTTCTGTTGATCCTGTGATTGAGGGAGAGACTCTGACTCTACACTGTTTACATCGATCTACAAACTCCCCGATCCTCAGCGCTGATTTCTATAAAGACGGATCACTGATCCAGAATCAGACGACAGGAGAGATGAGCATCACTACTGTCTCAAAGTCACATGAGGGTTTCTACTCCTGTAAAACAGAGAGAGGACAGTCTCTCCACAGCTGGATCTCAGTCACAGGTCTCTGAATAATCAGTGATGATATTATTGTAATATTATCATACAGTCTCACGTAACTCACGGACAGATCTGTGTGTTTGTCATGTTCTTCAGTCTCAACAGCTTCATCTTCTCATCTGGCCGTTGGTGTGTGTGTGGGATTGAGTGTTTGCTTGTTGTTCTTCATCTCACTGGTTCTGCTGCGGAGACACAAACACAAGAAAGGTGTGGAGCAGTTCATCACAGGTTATGAATTATTAAACCACATGAACAGCAACAAATGGAAGATACAGTTTCTGAAGCCTAGACAGTCACTGCATGTTTATTAATAAATGAGCAGTTAATGCATGTATCAGACAATATGCGAGTGACAAAACTCTTACAGTGACTATAATGATATCTGTCTCTATTATAGATCAGCACCGTAACATTCAACAGACATCAGTCCCGAATCCATCCGGAGAATCTCTACCGTTAAACTCTCCTCTGCAGTCTGGTCAGACGCAATAACTAATGATTTACATTTATTTATTAATGTTTTTTCCTTCTTTTTAGACTGCCTTGCTTTTAAACTTTTTCCTTGTTTGCTGTCCAGCAGATAATGATGGGACTCCAGTGAATCGTGGAAATAAAGGTTGAGTCTTTTCAGAAAAAAATTTACACATGCATCATGAAAAAATCAACAAAAATCATTGACTTTTTCCTTGTGTTTTTTTCCAGACGTCACATATTCAGAGGTCACTGTTAAGAAAAAAATATCTGTGGATAAAGGTTAAAAACCCTCTTCAATGGAGTCATTAACCAATAACATTTATGCAATTTTAGTTAATAAAAAAAAATATATATATTTCTTTCTAATTGACTAAATATATTTTTCTAGATGAAACCAAGTCAAATAATGTGATGTACTCAGAAGTGAGAACAAAAGGAAAGAAATGCAAAAGCAAAGGTGAGATCCTGTTTTTCCTGAAGTACAATATTATTTTTCCAGCATATTCTGAATAATCTCATTTATTTTCTGTTCTGTATTAGATATTAATACTGCAGGACCCAGTGATTTGACTTACGCACAGATCAATATACAGGACAAAAAGAAAAGCAAGAGCAAGAGCAAGAGCAAAGGTAAACGCTCAACAAACTGCATCTAAACACTGTCTGAATGAATCATCACATTTAACTATAGTATATAATGCTTCTATATTCATAAAAGAGAACCGTTACTATCATTACCTGAACTGATAAAGTCACCTTCTTCAGGTGCTGATGCTGGAGTCGGAGATGCAACTTATTCTCAAGTTTTAAGGAAGAAAGGTCAGAAAAAACAATACAGCTATTCGATTTTTTGTTACAAAGATTTTACAGTAACTGAGATGAAGTTCACAATTTTCACTTTCATGTAGAATATAAATCTGTTTTTAGGGATGCAGTTCAGTTATTTGTGAGGATCAGGTTCATTGTGATCTTAAAACTATAAATCAAGGACAACATTCTTGGAACATCATTTAACCCTTGTGTTCTGTTCGATTTCTGTGTACTCCCCTTATGGACCGGGTCAAATTGACCCTAATTGGATTCAATACAATTCCTCAAAAATCACACTATGAAAAACAACAAAGATTTAGATACAAACTGTAAACTTTTAATATCATATTTGTCAAACGTTACAAAAACATTATATCTGAAAATATGATTTATGAAAATGTTTTTAAAACATTTTTTAAAACAATTTTGTTTTGACAAAATTGGAAAATAAACAGTATACTGATTTTTTTGCATATATATATATATATATATATATATATATATATATATATATATATATATATATATATTTTTTTTTTTTTTTTTTTTATGCTTTGAACATCTTAACTGAACAAAAAAAAAATTGCTGTATAATGAAATCTTTTCATTTTCCTAAGTTAACTTTCCCTAGTTTCCTAAGACCTATTTTCCTAGTTTCATTATTTACTCACTGGGAAGTGAGAAACCAAACATAACAAAAACATACATCAAATAAATGTTTTTTATTTATTTTTTGGCTCTGTGAAGCTGCCTTTGAAAATCCTACATAAAATTTTTGGTTAAAAGCTAGGTATTTTAGATATTTTGAATATTGAAATGAGAGCTTATTTTACTATCTGTGTCTGACAAAGATTTTCATCTGTAATTTGCAAATAATTCTGAACACTGTAATTTTAGCTTTTTCAAGTGTGTTTGGTTAGGGTTAGAGCACTTTTAGATGCACTTGCACGTTAGAACTGGAGTTGAAGTGCCCTGACATACAGAAAATAAATGTTTTTATTTTGTGTCTGCACAGTTGCTTTTGAATGACTGTCTATGAGGGTCAAATTGACCCGCGAACATCACGAACGTAACAGTAATTTTGTTTGTATATGTCAAAACACATCAGCATGTTGAAACTTTGCATGCATGTTCATCATGATAAATGAGAAAAAGTCACAAAATATCAAGAAAAAAAACAAAAGTTAACCAGTATTTCCAACAACTTGAAAATCGAAACGGGTCAAATTGACCCGCAACATAACACAAGGGTTAAACATTAGAATGAAAACTAACTTCAGATGAATAAGTTTGTGTTTGCCGTTTCAAAAGAACATCCTTGGAACGTGGGAAAGTTTTGTAGCCTGTCCTATTTATTGTTCCTAACTTTTCTCCCTAATTTATTAAGGATCACTAACTTTCTGGCTTAAAAATGTCTTACGGTTGGATGTTACACAGGAAAATCCCCTGTGTTTAATGGACATCTCTCAGTGAGCATTAGTGACGACGCAGGGCTTGACATTAACACCCGTCACATGTGTGTGTATTTCAGCAGTGGTGTGTAACGCAGTCACTCCTATAGACACTTTGGCGGGCTGAATTTTATATAGGCCTAATATACATTGTTCAATTGTAGTCTTTTAAAAAGGCAGTCTATGGCAGTCTACGCCCTTTACAGTCTATGGTTGACACACAAACCTTTACGCTTAATAAACAAATTACAGCTGGTCCAAAACGCAGCAGCTCGAGTTCTTACCAGAAGTATGACCATATTAGCCCGGTTCTGTCAACACTGCATTGGCTCCCTATTAAACCGGACTTTCATCCTCCCGTCTTTAGAAGTTTGTTCTCCTGAGTCGAACTTGGCAAACCTGAACTTTGCATACTTGGTATTGAGAAACGCCTAAAGATCTGAAATGGGTGTGTCAGACAAATACATGCAAAGTGTGCAGTGTTGGGCCTCAGGAACATGTTAGGAAACACTGATCTAATAGTTTGAAAGAGAACCTTTTCTCTTGACATGTGCTAGACCATGTGATAATGAGCTGATGAGTTGAATCGGGTGTGTTTGACTAGGGAGACAGAGAAAACGTGCAGTGTTGGGGGTCCTTCAGGAGCAGGGTTGAGAAACACTGGTGTAAACGAACACTTTTCTGAAAACTGACAGGTGTGCACGATGTTGTTTTTGTAATGTCTGTTTATGAAAATAGCCGGCCACGTGTAAACGAAGCCTAAGCGTGTCTCAACTATTACACAAGAGGTGTCAACAGATGAATTTATTACCTTTTTCATTAATGTCTCAATTGTAATTATTACAATAACTATAATGCAGTCATTTGACTGTCATTGAAAAGACATGTTAAGCTGCCTATTCATAAATCTCTTTATCAATGCAGAATAGTTTTTCAAACTGCAATTGCTGAAAGCAAAATAAACTAACACAAGTCAAAAGCCCAACTAAAGCTGTTCACCATAATGGTGAGTTCAAATGAAACAATAAATCATCAACATCGAAACCTCTGTAAATTCCCATTATAACTTCTGTAGATGTCTGACAGAAATAAAGTGAGTCTGGTTAGTAGTAAGTGAAGCTGGTAATGCTGTTTGTGGAGTTGTTTAATCCTCCTCTGCTGAGATCTTCAGAGATTTAATGTCTTCTTTTCTCTTCAGTTGATTTCATCTTAGGCTGTGACTGAAGTCAGTTGTAGTTTGTGTTCTTGTTGTGTCTCTTTCCTTCAGTGATTCGGCTTGTTAACAGCAGGCGTCCGGATGTTTGAAAGAATGTTTCAGGAACATCATACTATCCTTTTAAAAACATTCCTCTAACATTATGAAAACTGGACATTATAACCTTTCCGTCAGCAAAACAAAACAGTTTGGACAAAGTTATTAGAACAATAATTTGTCATCTGGTACTTGAATAATTCCTCAAACTCTGTTCTCTGTTCAAAGGTCCCTGAGAGCAGTGAAGAAAACAGACGACAAAAGAAAAACACCAGCAGAAGAAATGAGTCTGAGTCAACCGCTTATACTCATGCTTTAATGAAAGAGAACTGCACTGCATTATTAATCATTCATTTATCTTTAATATACTAAAACATTTTCTCTAATGAGCATTTATTTTTTAACACGTCTTATCAATTAGTGCCTGTGTTTTTGCCAAAACAAGAGGATTTTTCTTATAGCACACAGTGTTGGGGTAATGCATTACAAGTAACTTGAGTTGGAGTAACACATATTTTTTATGCATTTAATCTCACTCTATTGTCTGATGTACTTGCTTCTGCTGACCTTCAATGATTCAGTTAAACAATACTCAAAAATGACTTTAGATTAGTTGTTATTATTGCTGAAGAAAGTGTTAAACTTTCTTCTCCTGCATCTATTCTTCTGCAGTGTTGATGACAGCAGCTGAAAGGTTTGTTTGAGCTGTTGAGCGCCCTCTACTGTACACTCATCGATATACATTTCCTTCAGTCTTATTATTTCAATTTTGGTGTGAAAGGGCCTTTACGTTTGCCCAAAAATATTAAGTTTTTGTAATAAAAAAAACAGCCTTTTCTTAAAAAGTAACTTTTTAAGGGAGTAATGTTATATTGTAATGCATTACTTTTCAAATTAACTTTCCCCAACACTGCTCATATATAGCCTACTGTTTTCTTATTTCATTTATTTAATATTTGCTGTTTTTTGCTGAAGTTAACAAATTGTAAGCTTTCTATTTGATAAATAAAGAGTGGCATGACATTTTCTTTGCATGACTTTTTCACATTTGTTAACCTAAGATCACAAGGCTTGATAAAAATGTTAATACACATTTTGTTTCTAGATTGTTATTCTAATGAACAAAAGTAATGAGCATATTCTAAACAGTTCAGTTCAGGTCACGGGTGTTTTCAGTGTATTCTCTGATGCTGTGACAGGATAATGTGCCATCAAAGAAAAGAAAAAGTTTGCAAACAGGTAATAAATAAATGTCTCTTAGCATCTACCGATAAAACTGTATAGGCAACTCTTATGTACACTGAATAAAAAATAAGATAAACTCTAGAATGTTAAGAAATATGTTGTGCTTTTACTTTTACAATATATTACTATTATAGGCATACAATAGAACGTAGCCTACTTCTCTAAATAATAATAATAACAACAATAATAATACATTTTATTTAAACATTATTTAAAGGAATATATTTTTTGTCCATGGTTTAATTTAGTTCATCTGTTTTTGCAGCGCTTCCCCAAAAAAATAAAAGGACACAATTTTAAATTTTCATTTGATTACAACCGTTTTTGATAATATATTTGGATTAAATCATAAAAAGAAACATAAATTTTCTGAATAAAATACATTTCATAGGACAATATTTTTCTTAAACATTTTAATAAATTATATACATACAGTATAGGAGTATGAATCAGAATAGATTTTATTGCCATTGTCAATGAAAGGTTTTAGAGACTAGGAATTTTCTTCGGTGTACTCATGCAACATGAAACACAAACTTTTGCTAATGATAAAAAATAAGCAATAAACTGGTTGATTGATATATTCTTTTTTTATTTTCCATAATCAAATCAATCACACATTGTTTAGAGTGCTTTTCATACAAGAATGTAAAACTAAATTCAGGTGGTTGGTTGATAAAGTGACATTGCAGGTGTTGTAAACAAGAAAAAAGGTCTTTGTGACACAGTCCAATGAAATTACATTCGCATCCTCTTCTGTGGACTCTTCTGTGTTGTGAACCTTGGCGCTGGGCATGTGATGTCTCTTGCCTCGTCAGCACAGAATGGCCTTATTTTTTCATATAGATAGGTCTGCCTGTCAATTTTCAGTCCAGGTGGGGCCAGGACAGGAAGACCGTCGACAGGGGGCAGATCTGCTCCGTCGCGCAGTAGCTGATATTCGACAGGTTGTGCATCACGGTGACTTTTTGCAAGCACCACACCTGGTCTCTTGGCGTCAAAGCTGTGACAGAAAAAGCACATAAGACATTTTAAACATGGCAAAGTATTTTCTTATAAAAAACGGTCATGTGTATCTTGTTGCTATGTTATATTGTATGTACACAATGTGAAAGTTTCAATTACCTGAAGTGCTGATAACTCTTGACCTGTGGGAGTCTACGGAAGTGGCGAGTCAGATGCTGCTGCCAGTCGAAGGTCTGGACTAAAACTTTTCCCTCTGCCGTTCCAACAAGCTGTGGGATATTGAGGTGACTCACAGGAGAGCTGTTTTCCACAACCTGATGACAAAAAAGAGAAGAGAGGAAGAAAAAAAAGATCTTCAGTTAAATGTTTCATTGAAGCAGAACAGAAAACAGCACTGAAGTCATTAAAGCAAAGTAAAGTTAAAGTACCTCAGCGATGTCTGCCAAAGTGTTGACTCTTGTCTTCATGTAGGCTTGCTTGATGAGTCCAAAGCCACAGTCAGGGGAAAACTTGGTGTGGCCAGCAATAAGGAAGTGGATTTCAATTTTATCGTGAAGCTTGTGTCCAACCCGCCAGGCAAGGTACCAGAGCATGAAGTTGTTCTTGTTCTGCCCACTGCAGTTGTCACAATGAAGATCCACCTCTGTTTCTCCAACTCCAAAGTTGCCGAAGAAATGATGCATGTAGCTGATGACTTCATTGCTTCCCTTAGTAGATGACATGCCTTCATCAATCAGGTAATTCACCTGTTTCTGCAGCCCTTCACATGAAACACCAAATAGGCCACATTTCCGTGGGGTCAGGAAGTACATTGGTCCTGGCTGGAGAGGGTTTGAGGGAAAGTGTAACTGTAGGAGACAGAGGGAGAGAGGGAACTTGGATTAGATTAAATTAAATTTGCATCTGTTCATAACTGTCTAATAAAGATAAAACTTACTATATTGATGCTATTCTGCATTTGCACTATTTATTCTCATGCACCAAATCGCCCTTTAAGGGACATTAATAAAGTAAAGGGAAGTAAATGTGTGTGAAATATTACCTGCTGAGCAAAATCAAAACTGTAATGCATCCTAATCTTCTTGCTTGCTGGTAGGGATGGTCCAAAAGACAGGTCAGAGCCAGAGCAAGTCTTTCTGCAGGCAGCAGTCATGTCGTTGTACACAGCCCTCTCTTTCTGCACAAGGGAAAGATGATCTTGTTGCTTCTTTACTGCTTCAGACTTTCTATCATCTGGGAGGTTTGCACTTCGTATCAGCTGCTCGTTATTGCTTTGGCACTGCCAGCAGAGATCTGTGCGCGGCCGGCAACTTTTGATGTGTGGGAGAAGTCGGTTCCACAGTGCTTTGAAGCTGGTTTTACAAACTGCACGCTCACCTGAAAAACAGATATTGCTTATGGTTAATTGTATTGTAATTGCTAATAGTGTAGCAATAATAAATAACATTATTTCACTTTATAAGCACTCAATTCTAAATCAATGTTTACACATACCAAGCTCCTTAGCAGACTTCACGTAGAGACGCCACACTGAGGCCTTGGACACATGAGTTGGCAGCAACTTCACATGCCAATCCTTATGCCCAGGCTGTCGGCCAGGCAGCATGATGGCATTGTCTTCTGCATAGTTTTTTATGAAGTCCACAACTCTGTTGATATCCTCAGGGCTGATGAACCTGGCTGGTGGACGTGGCAGTGAGTGCTTCTTCCTCAAACGTGGTCTTGCCCCATTCTCCTCATAGTGTTTGACTATATCAGCCAGGGTGTCTCTGCCAATGCTGGGGGGGAGAAAAAGACGTTTAACATCATGGTCTTGCTAACAGGCATCTTGTCACCTATATCAAAATGTATTGTACACATTATAGGTACTTTTACTTTACTGAAGTAAATTTTATGATGAATACTTTTTACTTTTACTTACTTTAGAGTTTGTATCTGTACTTCCTGGTTTAGTCTTGTTTTAGTCCTGGTTTAGACCTCAGTTAGTGGTTAGACCTGGTTTGAGTCAAAGGATTAAAAAAATCCTGTACATTAAACTCTTCATAAATACTTTTACTTTTGACTTATTACGCACATTTTACGGCTACGTATACTTTATACTTTTACTTAAGTAGGAATTTAATCTGATACATTTACGATTACGTTAGTAAATCCTTGGTAAGAATATTAAGTAGTACTTCCTCCACCACTGGCTAAAATTATTAGCATCACAATCAATTCAAGAATGCTAACAGGCAGGTTTACGTGGGCTAAGTTAAGTCATTAACACCAGTCAATTCAAGCAATTGAAGCATTATTCAAATTAATAGCAGAAGCTCACATTATCATCTTAAAGCTCATTATAGTAGGCCTAATGGGGGTTTTGGCAAGTGATATGATGCTAACGATTAGCAGCTAACGTTACAATTAAAACAACAGTCCTGAGCTAGCTAAAAACAATAGGTAGGTATTGGAAGGTCTAAACATGGACTAAACATGAGATAACGTGTACGTGTTCTTAGAATGAACAAAAAACGACAAACTTTGATGTTTATGGAAACTCACCCCATAAGAAACAGAAAAGTATTCTTGCAGATCTCGTTGCCTCCAATGAAATAAGTCG